CGATACTGTGCGGCTATGCTTGCTGTGTACTCCCAAAGCACTCTGAGACGGAGGCGGGGCAGATCACCTCCTGCATGCATCCATTACTGCTAGGAGTATGAATCACTATTATCTTTTTTTGTTGTTTGCAAAGTAATCTGGAAGAATCTAATAAAATTTAAAATCTATAGTATTAGTTCAGAATGGTTTGGGCTGCAAGCAACAGAAAATCTGACTAATAGTAGCTTAAACAAATAGAGGTTTGTTTTCTTTCTCACATAATAAGAAATCTAGAGGGACATTCTATGTCCCAATGCTAACATTGGATCAGCTGTTCAACAAGTTCATGAAGAACCTGGGCTTCACAAGACAATCCTAAGCAAAAAGAACAAAGCTGGAGACATCATGCTACCTGACTTCAAACTGTACTATAAGGTTGGCTGGGTGTGGTGGCTCACACCTGTAATCCCAGCACTTTGGGAGGCCCCGGGGCATGCGGATCACCTGAGGTCAAGAGTTCAAGACCAGCATGGCCAATGTAGTGAAACCTTGTCTCTACTAAAAATACAAAAATTAGTCAGGCATGGTGGTGCATGCCTGTGGTCCCAACTACTCAGGAGGCAGAGGCAGAAGAATTGCTTCTGGGAGGCAGAAGAATTGCTTGAGGGAGGTGGAGGTTGCAGTGAGCCAAGATCTCACCATTTTACTCCAGCCTGGGCAACAGAGCAAGGCTCTGCCTTAAAAAAAAAAAAAAAAAGAAAGAAAATGTGGGTGAGAGGAAAAGAGGCCAACCTCACGACATGTCACATAATGCCTGGAACTCAGAAGAGGGGATGTTTTAGTTCATACATGTTCCAGGTGGCATAAATAGATCACGTTTAATTCTAATCCTGTGAGGTAGAAGATGGAGGCAGAACAGTGCCAGAATAATTACTAGTGAGGGCACTGGCCCCCTAACCCAGGTCTGTCCCTGCAGACAGCATGCACTGTTCACACAACCAATATTTACCAGTACTACTAAGAGTATAGGGTGCAGAGAGCCTAGCGTTAGGCTCAAATGATAGCCTGAGTTCCAGAAGACATCATACACTCAAATAGCTATGCCTGGGCCCTCAATCTTCCGCATTCACATCTGTTTCTGCCTCAATCTTCTGCATCTCAGAAAAATGGTCCTTTCATCCACCCAGGTTTTCTCGCTCTGTTGCCAAAGCTGGAGTGCAATCTTGGCTCACTGCAACCTCTGCCT